CTAAAACTAAAATCATAATAACATCAAAATACGATGTAAATTTATTTTACTTGTATAAAGAAAAACAAAAAAAATAAACTTTGCATAAATTCTCTAGGTAACCTTTAAAAGAATGCAGTTGATTTACAATGTTCCGAAAAATGTTTAAAAATTTTTGTCAAGAAAAATACTTTCAAACATCATTGATAATTAAATGGTACCCAGAAAATGATGCAACGGAAAATTGGACACCGGAAAATTAGCAACAGAAAATTACGTCAACCATAAGCCAGTCGAGACTGTCGGATCTGGCTGTGCTGTCCATTGAAAACGAGCTTACAAGACAAACAGATTTTGACGATGTCATTGACCAGTTTGCCACAATGAAAACAAGAAAACATTCATTCTAAGACTATAATGTCATTCTTTTGTGTATTGCTGTGTTTTGTATTTAGTTGTTCTGAAAGTGAACAGTTGCATTTTAAAAATCTTTTGATTTGAACTGATTATTTTGTGGTATTGGATTTTGTCTTCGATCATACATGTAAACAGTAACGTACAGGTCAGTAGAGTAAAGTAGAGGTAGAGCATGTATGAAAATTTAGCTACAGCTAACCATTCAGCATAGGGTGAATCGGGGTCATTGGGGTGACATTTGAGCGGACCGCCCCGGGTGACGTTTACTCTAGCTACGCCACTGGCTTGAGAACAGCCATTAGTCAAGATCCCCGCTAAAAACGAAAATCGTGCGAAATAATAAGAAGGTGATAATAATAATAGTATTAGTAGTAGCAATAATAATAATAGTAGTATTAGTAGTAGCAATAATAATAATAATAATAAATTACCTGATGCTACAGCAGGTATGGCGCTTGTGCTTTATAAGTTTAACAGATTGGACGTATTAACATGCATATGGCTACGAAAGCTAACGTTTGTAATTTTAAAGTACGGAAGCTTAAAATGAAGGAAAAAAATATTATGTTTTATGTTTTGGGACTTTCCGTTAATTTTTTACCAAACACTAACGACTGATATTATAATGAAGCGAATATTAAAGAAGGAAAATATAAAAGATTAAACTTTTTTTTCGTTAGTCCTTTTTTGCATTTTTTTCTTTAGTCCTTTTTTTGTTAATCCTTTTTTCATTAGTCCTTTTTTCGTTAGTCCATTTTTCGTCAATCTTTTTTTTACGTTAATCCTTTTTTTCGTTAATCCTTTTTTTCTTTAGTCCTTTTTTCGTCAATATTTTTTTTAAGTTAATCCTTTTTTTCGTTAGTCCTTTTTTCGTCAATCCTTTTTTTCGTTAATCCTTTTTTTCTTTAGTCCTTTTTTTGTTAATCCTTTTTTTTCGTTATTCCTTTTTTTCGTCAATCATTTTTTTACGCTAATCCTTTTTTCGTTGATCTTTTTTTTTTAGTCCTTTTTTGTTAATCCTTTTTTTCTTTAGTTCTTCTTTTTTGTTAATCCTTTTTTTTCATAACTCCTTTTTTTCGTTAGTCCTTTTTTCTTTTTTTTTTTTTTCGTTAGTCTTTTTTTTTATTTTTTTCGTTAGTCTTTTTCTTTCGTTAGTCCTTTTTCTTTTTTTCGGTAGTCCTTTTTTCCCCGTTAGTCCTTATCAAAATCTAACGCCTGTAACTTTAAAGTGCTGAACTCTAGAAAAAGGTAAAAAGGTCAAATTATATTTTCTGGGTCTCTACCAAAAAGCTATCATGAAGCCTAATATGAATCTAAAAATCTAAAAATGCTATTCCTTTTATTATTATTGTTATTATTATATTTTTTTCTTATTGTAATTTTTTTTTACCAACATTCGTCTCTTCTTCAATCAAAGGCTCAAAACCCTGACTACTTATCTGGCAATTGATTTATCTAGAATCTGAAGAAAAACGATATGCAAAATTGATTGTTTGGGAGATAAACGTTGAAATGTTTCGAATCTCTAAAATTAAATTGCTTTTATAATTATGTAATAACAAAATCCCACGAATTAAGTTTTGAGTTGATAAGAAAAAGAAAACGAAACATGTTCATTTTTTTTATATTTTCAAATTATTGACGTTAGCTTTCTGTCGGGGCGAAAAGGTTCATTTCAATAAAATGATCATTGGTTATTTGTATATATTTCTTAAGTACCGTATTTGACGGCATATAAGACGCACGGGTGTATAAAACGCACCCCAATTTCAGCAGGAAAAATCAAGAAAAAATAGTAATTAGTAAAATTATTAGTAAATGGTACAGCCTAGGCTATATTTATGAGGTATTATTTTGGTTAAACAAGCCATGATGACAATTAAACGAAAAATAATAGGAAAAAAAGAACACAAGCCTATAAAAACTTTATTATATCCAAAGGTAAGAAAACAAAATAAAAATCAAGCAATTATTAGAATTGAGCAAAAAAACAGTAGAGTTACCATTAAAATTTTATTCATCTTCAAATCCATAAAATTCGTCGTCTTCGTTATCAAAACTCTGACACTCATTTCCAAACTACTATCATCGTCGTTAAATAATGCGTCATCTTCTGTTCCATTGAGATATATATAAGAAAAATTGAACTGATTATTTATAAATGAATTTATTAATGAACGTTGAACATTTGCGATAATAAAGTTAGTTTTAGGCAATCTAAGAAGCATTACAAAGACTACACAAGTGAATACAACTGCTTTACTATCCTTTCTTTCAACATGTGGTCAGTTTTAAACTCACTCGAGTGTCAGGATGTAACCATTTTCTATTTTTCCTCAGATTAGGTCATTTGCAGTAGTGTACAGTAATATGAATCTATTTTCGGGGTTATGATGAAATTTGTTTGGCCTTGAAAAATATTGCGTTATCCGTGATTGCATCAGATTTTTATCACGCCCAGACACTACTGTCTCGATTATCGATTAGTTGACCTACGGCCATTGTCTGCGATGGTCGTTACTCCAAGGAAGCGTGCGGAAATTGTAACGCTGCACGAAGACATTGTCAAGCCTTACCAGTGAGCAAATCAAAGACTGGCCGGGAAACTCATCTGATTTAAATCCAGTCGAGAATCTGTGGTCAATCTGCAAGGAACAACTTTGTTGAATGGGCATACGAAATACTAACATGTGCATTGGGTCATGTTTCATTGAGAAAATACGAAGAAAAGTAAATAATAACGGAATTATTTGTTTTGTTTCAATTAATTTGCACATAGGTGTATATATTTAGAAATTATTGATACATTTCAGACAAGAAACTGAAATATTATTGGTCCTGATTTAGCATCTCGACTTCAACCACTTTCCTAACACCGTATCGTAGCTTCCCTCTGTCTTTTCTATAGATACTTTCATGGTAACTGTTTTGACTAATTTTCCTTTGGTACTTAGACTCTATGAATTTAAGCGTAGTGCTAGATTGGCGGCAAGGTCTCATCATTTTACAGTTGAAATGGCTAGATAGAACCGTAAGTCCTATGCTAACAGTTTCTTCTCTCGGACTTTGCGCTTGTGGAAATCTTTTCCAGCTTCATTCTTCCCAGTAAACTTTGATCGTCAAAACTTTAAATCCAATGTCAGTTGTTATCTTCTGTCTTCTTAATTCTTGTCCTTTTAGTGTTATCTCTTTAATAGTTTTTTTTTCTCCCTCATATTCTGTAACACTCAGTAACCCCTTGCATCTTAGTAGCTTTATTGCCTTATTTGGGGTGAAATGATTATATATGTATCAATACTGAAATGAAGAAAAAAATGCTTTTCGGTATCTTAAAAATCTGGTATTTAGTATAGTTACATTTCGTTCAGAACAAGTACAAACAAAGACCAGTCGTTAAGGGGCAAATACTGTTGTTAGCTTAAAAGACAGGGAATTTTGGAGAGCAATAGGCGAGTACGTCCCAAAGAAAGTGAAAGGTTATAATCAATGGTCTGCATAAAGACAATGACTGTCCTTGTAGAAGCAATCAGAAGAAGAAAAGAAAAAGGAAAATATATTTGAAATAAAACCAAATCAGCACCATGGAATATTCCAAACATTCTTGTGTCCAAAATAAATATTGTGATTAGAAATTGACTTGTCCAGCATAAATGTTACTCCCCTGCAGTATATAAAAATGTTATTTACTCAAATAAGTGTTCAATTTTGATGAGGACAGGCGGTAACAAGCATGAACGAACGAACAGAGCATAGAGATAGATAGAGAGATAGAATGAAAAACAGAGAGTTCCAGGCGAGGGATAAAAAGGGAGAGACAGACAAAAACATACAGAGGAAGACAAGGAAAGAGAAAGACAGGCAGACAGAAAAAAGGGTGAGAGGCAGAAAGGAAGACAGGGACAGAGAGACACAGCGAGAGAGAGAGAGAGAAGAGAGAAAAGAGAAAGATAGAGAGACAGAGGAGAAAGAGGGGGAGTAAAATAAAAGAAAGTTTGAAAGATAAACCCAAACCATTGATAATAATCTTCAGTTTTCACAGCATTACATCAATTCTCTGCTCACGAGTGAAAAGGAGAATTGGTTTATACAAAGCGAATGAGAGGAGGCGGAAGAATAGTAAAGAAACGAGGAGACAGTGTACGTCATTTTACGTTTAAAGCAATGACGTGGCAAATCTTCATTGGGTAGTTATTCCAATATCCACTTCTCTTTTCATCTAATTTCACTGAAGCCATCTTTTTTTTTTAATTTTTTTATCGGCATTGAATTAAGATGAAGGAAACGATTTTTCGGATGGATGAACTTGCGATATGTTCACTGACTGTTATCGCTAAACAGATCCACTTTAGGCATCCTGTCCCTGTCTGCTAACTCTTCGCAAACCAATCTATCGATGTCGTTATTATCATCATAATTATTATTATTAGTAGTAGTGGTGGTAGTAGTAGTAGTAATATTAGTAAGGCTGTCATCATTAAAGTTGTTATTGTTGTTAATATAGAAAAGATCAAAGAGGAAAATAGGACGTTAGTGTGACGATTAATGGCGTCTGTTTGCCCTTGGGCTTCCTTAGCCGTGTGTGAGTGTGTGTCTGTGTGTGTGACATAGAGAGAGAGAGAGAGAGAGAGAGAGAGAGAGAGAGAGAGAGAGAGAGATACACAAAGAAGAACGAGCAAAGGAAGATAGACAGGAAGTTAAAAAGAAGAATAAAGAGGGAGTGGAAGTACAAGCCATAAACGGTGAAAATGAGTGCGGATTGTTCAAAAGGAACCGAGAGTGATTCCAGGGAAAAGTCGGACTGTTCCTACACTGAAGAATATCAATCATCTGCCCCCCTATCAATATCTTGCCAATCATCTGCCCCCTATCAATATCTTGTCAATCATCTGCCCGCTATCAATATCTTGTTAATCATCTTCTCCCTATCAATACAATGACAATCATCTTCCCCCTATCAATATCTTGTCAGTCATCTTCCCCCTATCAATATCTTGTCAATGATCTTCTCCCTATCAATATAATTACAATCATCTACCCCTATCAATATCTTGTCAGTCATCTGCCGCCCATCAATATCTTGTCAATCATCTTCCCCATATCAATATCTTGTCAATCATCTTCTTCCTATCAAGACAATGACAATCATATTCCCCCTATCAATATCTTGTTAATCATCTTCTCCCTATCAATATAATGAAAATCATCTACCGCCTATCAATATCTTGTCAGTCATCTGCCCCCATCAATATCTTGTTAATCATGTTCGCCCTTTCAATATCTTATCAATCCTCTTCCCCCTATAAATATAATGACAAACATCTTCCCTGTATCAATATCTTGTCAGTCATCTTCCCCCTATCAATACCTTGTCAATCATCTTCTCCCAATCATTTCAGTCTGAATGAAAGATTTCTTCAAAATCTTGTCACAAATACAGGGACCCCATCTCCAACCACTTGTCATCAATCATCTGCTCCTAATCCCTCAATAAAAATGAAATTTTTCTTCCCCTAAGCTTATCTTGTCAGGGACCGGCCCCCATCATCTCCAACCATCTTCCCCATCAATATCTGCTCCAGGGAATCCCCCAATGTCATTTTCTGAGTCTGAATGAAAGATTTCTTCAGAAAAAGCTCAACAAATACAATGACCGCCATTTTCATCTCCAACCACTTCCCCCATCAATATCTGCTCAGGGAATCCCATCAATGTCATTTTTCAATCATCTATCTTCAGAAAATAATGACAATCATTTCATCCCAACCAATTCCCCATCAATATCATGCTTCCCCTATCAATCCTCAATGTCATTTTCTGAGTCTCAATGAAAATTTCTTCAGAAAAGCAATCAAATCTTCCGCCATTTTCATCTCCAACCACCCCCATCAATATCTGCTCCAGGGAATCCCTCAATGTCTTTTCTGAGTCAATATTTCTTCCAGAAAAGCTTCCCCAAATACAGGGACCGCCATTTTCATCTCCCCATCTTCCCCATCAATATCTGCTCCAGGGAATCCCTCAATGTCATTTTCTGAGTCTGAATGAAAGATTTCTTCCAGAAAAGCTTCAACAAATACAGGGACCGCCATTTTCATCTCCAACCACTTCCCCATCAATATCTGCTCCAGGGAATCCCTCAATGTCATTTTCTGAGTCTGAATGAAAGATTTCTTCAGAAAAAGCTTCAACAAATACAGGGACCGCCATTTCATCTCCAACCACTCCCCATCAATATCTGCTCCAGGGAATCCCTCAATGTCATTTTCTGAGTCTGAATGAAAGATTTCTTCCAGAAAAAGCTTCAACAAATACAGGGACCGCCATTTTCATCTCCAATCAATATCCCATCAATATTTTCTGAGTCCAATGAAAGGAAAAAAAGCTCCAACAAATCAATGTCATTTTCTGAGTCTGAATGAATGAAAGATTTCTTCCAGAAAAAGCTTCAACAAATACAGGGACCGCCATTTTCATCTCCAACCACTTCCCCATCAATATCTGCTCCAGGGAATCCTTCAATGTCATTTTCTGAGTCTGAATGAAAGATTTCTTCAGAAAAAATTCAACAAATACAGGGACCGCCATTTTCATCTCCAACCACTTCCCCATCAATATCTGCTCCAGGAATCCCTCAATGTCATTTTCTGAGTCTGAATGAAAGATTTCTTCCAGAAAAAGCTTGTCAATCAAATACAGGGACCTTCCATTTTCATCTCCAACCACTTCCCCATCAATATCTGCTCCAGGGAATCCCCAATGTCATTTTCTGAGTCTGAATGAAAGATTTCTTCCAAAAAAAGCTTCAACAAATACAGGGACCGCCATTTTCATCTCCAACCACTTCCCCATCAATATCTGCCCCAGGGAATCCCTCAATGTCATTTTTCTGAGTCTGAATGAAAGTCATTTTCTTCCCTTCAAATAAATACAGGGACCGCCATTTTCATCTCCAACCACTTCCCCATCAATATCTGCTCCAGGGAATCCCCTCAATGTCATTTTCTGAGTCTGAATGAAAGATTTCTTCCAGAAAAAGCTTCAACAAATACAGGGACCGCCATTTTCATCTCCAACCACTTCCCCATCAATATCTGCTCCAGGGAATCCTTCAATGTCATTTTCTGAGTCTGAATGAAAGATTTCTTCAGAAAAAAGCTTCAACAAATACAGGGACCGCCATTTTCATTTCCAACCACTTCCCCAACAATATCTGCTCCAGGGAATCCTCAATGTCATTTTCAAATGAAAGATTTCTTCAGTCAACAAATACAGGGAATTTCATCTCCAACCACTGTCAATATCTGCTCCAGGAATCCCTCAATATCATTTTCTGAGTCTGAATGAAAGATTTTTCCAGAAAAGCTTCAACAAATACAGGGACCGCCATTTTCATCTCCAACCACTTCCCCCATCAATATCTGCTCCAGGGAATCCCTCAATGTCATTTTCTGAGTCTGAATGAAAGATTTCTTCAGAAAAGCTTCAACAAATACAGGGACCGCCATTTTCATCTCCAACCACTTCCCCATCAATATCTGCTCCAGGGAATCCTTCAATGTCATTTTCTGAGTCTGAATGAAAGATTTCTTCCAGAAAAGCTTCAACAAATACAGGGACCCATTTTCATCTCCAACCACTTCCCCATCAATATCTGCTCCAGGGAATCCTCAATGTCATTTTCTGAGTCTGAATGAAAGATTTCTTCAGAAAAGCTTCAACAAATACAGGGACCGCCATTTTCATCTCCAACCACTTCCCCATCAATATCTGCTCCAGGAATCCCTCAATGTCATTTTCTGAGTCTGAATGAAAGATTTCTTCAGAAAAAGCTTCAACAAATACAGGGACCGCCATTTTCATCTCCAACCACTTCCCCATCAATATCTGCTCCAGGGAATCCCTCAATGTCATTTTCTGAGTCTGAATGAAAGATTTCTTCAGAAAAAGCTTCAAACCGCCTTCAACAAAATACAGGGACCATCTCATTTTCATCTCCAACCTTCAACAAATACAGGGACCGCCATTTTCATCCCCATCAATCATCTGCTCCAGGGAATCCCCCATTTTCTGAGTCTGAATGAAAGATTTCTTCCAGAAAAATGCTTCAACAAATACAGGGACCGCCATTTTCATCTCCAACCACTTCCCCCATCAATATCTGCTCCAGGAATCCTCAATGTCATTTTCTGAGTCTGAATGAAGATTTCTTCAGAAAAAGCTTCAACAAATACAGGGACCGCCATTTTCATCTCCAACCACTTCCCCATCAATATCTGCTCCAGTGAATCCTTCAATGTCATTTTCTGAGTCTGAATGAAAAATACAGATTTCTTCCAGAAAAATCTGCTTCAATGTCAAATACAGGGACCGCCATTTTTTCATCTCCAACCACTTCCCCATCAATATCTGCTCCAGTGAATCCTTCAATATCATTTTCTGAGTCTGAATGAAAGATTTCTTCAGAAAAAGCTTCAACAAATACAGGGACCGCCATTTTCATCTCCAACCACTTCCCCATCAATATCTGCTCCAGGGAATCCCTCAATGTCATTTTCTGAGTCTGAATGAAAGATTTCTTCAGAAAAAGCTTCAACAAATACAGGGACCATTTTTCATCTCCAACCACTTCCCCCATCAATATCTGCTCCAGGGAATCCCTCAATGTCATTTTCTGAGTCTGAATGAAAGATTTCTTCAGAAAAGCTTCAACAAATACAGGGACCGCCATTTTTCATCTCCAACCACTTCCCCATCAATATCTGCTCCAGGGAATCCCTCAATGTCATTTTCTGAGTCTGAATGAAAGATTTCTTCAGAAAAGCTTCAACAAATACAGGGACCGCCATTTTCATCTCCAACCACTTCCCCATCAATATCTGCTCCAGGAATCCCCTCAATGTCATTTTCTGAGTCTGAATGAAAGATTTCTTCAGAAAAAGCTTCAACAAATACAGGGACCGCCATTTTCATCTCCAACCACTTCCCCATCAATATCTGCTCCAGGGAATCCCTCAATGTCATTTTCTGAGTCTGAATGAAAAGATTTCTTCAGAAAAAGCTTCAACAAATACAGGGACCGCCATTTTTTCATCTCCAACCACTTCCCCATCAATATCTGCTCCAGGAATCCCTCAATGTCATTTTCTGAGTCTGAATGAAAGATTTCTTCAGAAAAGCTTCAACAAATACAGGGACCGCCATTTTCATCTCCAACCACTTCCCCATCAATATCTGCTCCAGGGAATCCCTCAATGTCATTTTCTGAGTCTGAATGAAAGATTTCTTCAGAAAAGCTTTTTCACAAATACATATCTGGGGACCAATGTCATTTTCTGAGTTTTTTTCATCTCAACCACTTCCCCATCAATATCTGCTCCAGGGAATCCCTCAATGTCATTTTTCTGAGTCTGAATGAAAAGATTTCTCAGAAAAGCTTTCTTCAAATAAAGGGATTTTCATCTCCAACCCAAAAATACAGGGACCGCATTTCTGATTTTCATCTCCAACCACTTCCCCATCAATATCTGCTCCAGGGAATCCCTCAATGTCATTTTCTGAGTCTGAATGAAAGATTTCTTCAGAAAAAAGCTTCAACAAATACAGGGACCGCCATTTTCATCTCCAACCACTTCCCCATCAATATCTGCTCCAGGGAATCCCTCAATGTCATTTTCTGAGTCTGAATGAAAGATTTCTTCAGAAAAGCTTCAACAAATACAGGGACCGCCATTTTCATCTCCAACCACTTCCCCATCAATATCTGCTCCAGGGAATCCCTCAATGTCATTTTCTGAGTCTGAATGAAAGATTTCTTCAGAAAAAGCTTC